CTTAGTAGTGATAGGAAGCCATTAGAATTTATTTAGTGACATGGTCAGACCTGCACTTTAGGAAAATCACTTTGGTGGCTAAGTGGAGGATAGAATGGAGTAGGGAGAGACATGCAGCAAGCAGACCAACCAGCAGGCTATTGCAAATTTTTGTCCAGGAGTGAAGAAATACAGGTCTGTACCAGGGTAATGGCAGTGTCAGAGGAAAGAAGGGAGCTTATTTGAGAGATGTCTTAAATGAAATCAACAGGTCTTAATATATTAGATATGGGGGCTGGGGTAGAGGTGAGAGACAGTGAAGAGTCAAGCGTAGTACCTAAGTTGCAAGCACAGAGGATTGAGAGGATGGTGTACCCTCAACAGTAATAATAATAGGGAAGTTTGGAAGAGAGGAAGTTAGCGGGGGAGGGGGAGATAATAAAATCAGTTTTTGACATATTGAATTTAAGATGTCTGCAGGACATCCAGTTTAAGACGTCTATTAAGTGAGAGATGTGAGACTGGAGATGGGCAGAAAGTTTAGGCTAGATTTGTGAATTCAGCATAGAGATGATAACTGAATCCATGGAGCTACTGAGATCACCAATTGAAATAGTATAGAGCAGGGGTGGGGAACTTGAGGCCTCAAGGCCACATGTGTCCTTCTAGGTCCTTGGGTGTGGCCTTTTGACTGAGTCCAAGTTTACAGAACAAATCCTTTTATTATGGGAATTTGCTCTGTGAAGTTTGGATTCAGTCAAAGGGCAGCACTTGAGGACCTAGAGGGCCTGAGGTTCCCCACCCCTGGTATAGAGGGAGAAAATGGCTCAGGACATTCAGGTGGGGCACTCATGGTTAGCAGGTATAATCTGATGAAGATCCACCAAAGAGCCTGAGAAGGGACAGTAAGATAGATAGGAGAGCTAGGAGAGAGAGCATTATTTCCAAAATGGAGAAAAAGAAGGGAGTATCAAGGATACAAGGGTAAATAACAGTGTCAATGGTGGCAAAGAGGTCAAGAAGGATGAGGATTGAGAAAAAGCCATTAGATTGGGCAATTAAAAAAGCAGGTTTGGCAAAATAATGAGGTAAGATGCCACACTGTAGAGAGCTAAGAAGAGAGTGACAGGAGACAAAGCAGAGACACCTATTGTAGTCAGCTTTCTCAATGACTTTAGCCACAAACAGCATATTGGATGGTAGTTAATGGAGATAGAAGGATCACATGAGGATTTTTTGAAGATAAGGGAGACAAGGGCATATTTGTAGGCAGTAGGGAAGTAACCAATAAATAGGGAGACAGAATGTAAGTGAGAGAATGAGGATGACAGAGGATGCAATCTGCTTGAGGAGACAAGATGGAACAGGATCAATTGTGCAAGTAGAGGGGTTGATTTTGGCAAGGTGAAAAGCTATTTTATCAAAACCCACAGGGGTGAAGAAGGAGACAGTGATAGAATGCATCTGGGTAATAACGTAGACAAGAGAAGAGAGAGCTCTTAGCAAAATACCTCAATTTTTCAAGCAAAATATGAGGCAAGGTTCTCAGCTGAGAGGGTGGGAGGAGGAAAGCTATAGTTTGAGGAGAATGGAAGCTTGGAAGAGCCACTGTGGGGAGTGAGATAGTGAGTTGAAAAGGAAGGTCTAGAAGGATTGCCTAGTGGCAGTGAGGGCTGAGATGAGATTTTATAACATAAACTTATAGTGGACCAATTGAGAATGATTACAGGAATTTTTCATCCTTCCTTCAGCAGCACATCTGCAGGAGAGAAGGCAGTAGTAGATGGTAGGTGTTATCCAGGGCTAAGGATCAGCAAGGTACAATCAGTGATAATAAGCAGGCCAAGGACCCAAGGAAAGAGAATAGTGCAGAACTGAACTGGTTCACCAACAATCAAGATGAGGAAAAGAAGATAGCTTGGCTGGTGCAGTGATGGCCTGGTAGAACTGGAGGTCACAGTGTGGATGATGAGCATGGTTTGGTTTTGGAAAGCAGAAGAAGAGGGAGAACACCAATAGATTGTGATCAGATAAGACCTTAAGAGCTCATGAACACAGAAGTAGTATATTTGCAAATGAAGAAAAGATCCTCTTTGTGTGTGGCTAAGGTCAAGTGGTAGAGTATATTACAAGAAATGAGAAAGTTAAGAAATTGGGAGGCGAGGCTGTTTGAAGCAGTTTCAATATGTAGGTTGAGGTATGAGGAGAGAAAAAGACAGGAATCGAACTCATTAAGGAAGGAAGAGGAGTGTCCTGGAGGTCCATAAACAATAGCTACCAGAATTTTAACTAAGTTGATAGCTATGGTAGCATTCACTGTTAAAATAGCACATGATATCAGGATAGTATAAACAGATCAATAATAGATAAATAATATAAATTCAAGGCGAAATAATACCTTCTCACAAATCCATTTCTCTTTTTTCTCCCCATGTATCCAAACTGCTCTTATTTTTAATGCTGCAATTTTTCTATTACGTCTAAATGCAAAGTCAAAGACAAAATACGATGCTTGTTAAAGGGTAAACTTTAAACAGTTTAAATGTTAAATTTCAGCAGTGTGGTGCTGTAAATAGTGATAAAGCAGTCAGGACACCTGGGCTAAAGTTCCACCCCTGACACAAAACCGGCTAGTGTAACCCTCAAAAGGCACTTTACTCTCAGTGCCCACAGGCAATTTTCTAGGATCATAAATTGCAGAACCGATTCTCCTGTAGGGAGTGTTTCCTCACCAAGAGTGCCCTATACCAATGAAATCACAAGTCCAGTAAAAAATATCAATTTATTATAGAATACAGTGACATAACAAATATGACAAATAGGAAAACATCAAGGAACTATCGTGTATCTATCTGTATTTTTTAACTTTATTCCATATATAGTTTTACCTCTACTTTTCTTCCTCATTAGAATGTTAAGCAACTTGTAAGTAGGAATTTTTTCACTCCTCATACTTGTATCTTCTATGCCTGACACGTAGTAAGCACTTAATAAATACATATTAATTAACTGATTGGAATGCTGTAAATCCTTAGCTTACTTTCCCTTCTTTCTCCCTCCTTCATTTGGGTTCTGTGTCTCTCCATCTAGCACAGGATTCCTTCCCTGGATATCTTTCAGGGCAGGAGAAAGGTTCCTATATAACAAAATAGCACTTAGCAAACTAATGCCTTCTAGTCTTTTCCTTCCCTTTATCTTCTGTCAGTTGGCCGTTCTATGAGATGAAGTTTTGTGAGCAAGTCTTGAAGATAGGGTATCTGTGGAAGAGGAAGGGACTACAAACCATAATTTCCCTTTATTTAAAATTTTTGTAACATTAATGATAAACATAATGGAAACAAGTATTTTATTTAAAGGGATAAAATGTTCTGGACTTGGAATCAAAACATTTGAATTTGCAGTGCTTGCTCTGCCACGTATGCTCTTTATAACCATGAATGAGTAACTTAAGCTAAGCCTCAGTTTCTTTAGTGGAATACTCAAACAGTCTACATTTACAAGGCTATTGTGTGGTTCAGATGTAATAATACACTATCACTGCATGAGCATAACTTATTAATATCACTGCTCCTCTCCAAAAATAAAGCGGTCATTGCCTTGAGGTTGAAGAATTCAGCTAGTCATTAAGAGAAATCTCTATCAGTATAGACTAATGTGTAAAAAATAATTAGTTCTTAACATGTCTGAGTTATTTGTCTTTTTAAAAGAGTATACTTTCATTAATCTAAAAAATCTCTATTAGGTAGAGTTTTTCTACAGGTATGAAATGAAAAATGAAGTGAAAAGTTCAGATATTATGGGGTGAAGATATTTTGTTGTATTAAGGCCAACTGGGGAGTTGAGTCTTTCTCCCAGTATTAGAATCCATAAACTGATAAGGATTACACAATTTCTGTTCTCCTATTTCTAAATACGCTATTTTCTAAAACTGCCAATCCCCATTCCTCTACCCCCACTGCAATAGTCTTCATGGGAAAGGGGTCCTACATTTTCAAGGGTTGAGGAAGGGCTTGTCCTATGTACTGGTGGTTTATTAATTGTGTTTAATTTAAGAATCTGTCCCTAATTATCAAGAGTCTGTACTTAATACCATACCTTGAAGCTTTGTGAAAGTGGTTTAACATTCATTCAAGCAGCATTACATTATTTAAATCTGTGCTTACTCCTTTAATAACATTTATGGAAAGGGAAAAATATTACAGGTCAAATAAAAGAGTGCTGAACGGTTTGAAATAAACAATTTGTTCTTAAAGAGTTTGTAGAGAAAGCACATTGAACAAGATTTCAATGTTTCTATGGTGCCTACTTATAAGAAACTAGTAAACTTTTTTTTTAAAGTCACATATTAGCCTAACTAACCAGTTTAACTCAATAGAAATTTACTGAGCACCTATTATGAGGAAGGCACTGTGATAAGTACTGGAAATACAAAGACAGATATAAAATAGTATCTGTCCCCCCCAAAATTATATTTAGCAATATAAACAGCTGCTGAAACTTCAATAAGAAAAGCTTTTAACATTTATTTCTTTAGTCTTTCTATTCAATCCTTCTCTAATTATTCAAGTTGCTTCCCCATTTAAACAATACTTCATCTACATCATCATTAGTCTGATTTTCTCAGTATTGTTGGGGCAAGGCTGCTTCCCTTACCAAGCCAAAGGGTAAAAATAGGTAATTACTCTCCGAGGAAAGGCAAACCCCCTAGCACAAATCTGCAACAACAAATGAACAACTTGATCTAATCTTGATCCAAGTGAATCAGATCAAGTGAAAGTTAAGAAAAAAAACCTGGGTGGAGTAAGTTCCTAATTCTAGATACTTATACCTACTAATCTTAAGAAAGGTTAGATAAATTTGACTTTCAAGCCACTTTTATGTATTTCTAGATATATTTTTAAAAAGTAAGTAAGCTCACATTCTCTATCATATAAGGAGTGACTAAATATTTAACATTACATTGGTTTAATTTATTTTAAGTTGACGTCATGTATGACATTTCTCTTGGTTCAATTACCTACCCATATCCCTCTTATCTTTTGATCCATAGTGTGTTTGCTCAACTGTGGCACATCTTGTTCTGGCTGGCTTATACTGTTTTTTTCCTGTTTTAAAAAAGTTCAAAAGAATTTAACGGTCATAAAAGTAAAAATGGTTGCTTTCAGTTTTCAAATAAAGCAAAGCTTTATACAAGGAGCTCTGTGGAAGACTTTCCCATATACAGAAGCTCCAAAGAATATCTATCTTCCTATAGAATATATCAATTATATATCAATCTCTTATACTGTGTCCTGATTCTATTTTAAATTGAACTTCTGGGTTATTAAACAAACAAAAAACTGCATTCTGGATTTACATTATAAAAAAGCAAATACGTCTCCTCATGTTAGGACATATCATAACATGTCAATGAGACATAAGGAGGAAAAAGTGGGACTCGGCTTTTTTGCAAAATATGGCAAATATCAAACGGATCTGTGTCCCCTTCTAGGCTTCCCCCCCAAGACAATAGTAAAGACTTAAATGTGATTATAAAAATTTACAAGAGAAATCAAGGTATCAAAAGCTGTGTATTATATTACTTAACAGTTTATCTTCCAGAGTACAGGTTTCCCTAAAATTCAACCCTACTCTTAAAAAGATAGCTGAATTTCCTATTCAAATACACAATGATGAAGAAAGTATTTAAAATTCACTATCTTGTTACTGAAAATGTTAATACGTTGGCTTTTCATAATTGTACGTTTTTTTTATAAATTATCAGCTCTTTAAATTTCATTAAAGAACTCTTCTTCACTCTGATATTTCAGAGGATTTGAAATCCTCTAAAATGTTCCCTTTAATACTTCAGCATTTTAAGGCAGAGGCTTAAGAAATAAATTCCATCTCTTCCTGGATATGTTAGACCTTCTTGGTCAGTTCTAAAAGGTAAACAGATAACAATCATCAATTATAAGCTACTCTATACTAACTAAGCTATGTCTATATATAAGCATTCCCTTAAAGAAATATAATTCTACCACTAGGTATATTATAAGCTAGCATATTTCTATTTCTATTCTGAAACTATTTGCACACAATTTTATTCAGACAATTTTTTTTTTAAAGAGGAAAGGTAAAATAAATAAATAAATAAATAAATAAATCCAGCTAACTTACAATCTCAATGAACACAGTTTGAATGAAAATAGTCAAACTGTGGGCTAAATTCTTAAAATAAAGTTGCAATAGTATCTGAAAAATTAAAAGTTAAAAGTAATCAGATATATGTCACAGACAATATTCAAAAGCTATATTTTTTATAGGACAGGGATAGGGACCAAACCTATGATTTCATTGATACAAACAACTCCCATGTGAGGAAACTCCCCTTTACTAATGCAGGTCAGTACCTTCTTAGAAGTTTTTAGTTTTGGACAGTTGCTTAGAGCACTGGGAGGTTAAGTGATTTGACCAAGGTAGCCCAGCTAGCAAATGTTCAAGTTAGGACTTGATCCTAGAACTTGTGAGCTCCAAGGCTAATTTTCTATTTTTCTAATTTTCTATAAACAGACTGCCTGTCTCATTATAATTTTTATATCTATTCTAAATCTCTAGAAAAACCTCTATCTTATTATGATTATCTCACTATTCTGCATCCGATAAGTACATCTACACACATGTTTTACAATGTTCTTTTGCATTTGTTCATGGTGCAGACACAGATGGCATTCAAAGGCATAAAGTAATCTCTAGTTGTTTCATTTCTACATGTGTTTTGTCTCTTCAAATAGATTTCAGATATGACAAGACCAGGGACATTATCTTACTCCAGAGACCACGCAAATAACTGAATATATAAAGACAGACTCCCTATATTCAATTGTTGATATTATAGTAATTGAATTCAATAAATGTTTATTAAGTGCTTATTATATTAGTCAGAAAGATACACAGAACAAATTAAATGGCTCCTCCTCCCTCCAAGCTAACATTCTAGTCGAGGGACACAAATGAACAACAACAAGCATAATATAAGGGAAGCTGAGGAGGATGAGGGCACCAGCAACTAAGGGAATTATAAAAAGCTTCATAGAAGAGTTATTACCTGAGCTGAGCATTGAATAAAGATTTTAAAAAATCTCTAGAGATGAAGAAGGGGTGCATTCCAAACATGGGAAGATAGAATGTTAGGTTGTTCTGTTTTGATGGACAGAATTGATGAAGGAAAATAATATAAGAGATCTGAAAGTTAAGTTGTTACCAAGATAACAGAAAACCTTGGATGCCAGGCTAAGTAATTTTATCATAGCAGCAATAGGAAGCTATTGAAAATTTATGAACAAGGGAGTAACATGGTCAGAACTGTACCTTAGGAAGATTATTTTGATGGCTAGGAGGAAAATGGGTTGGAGATAGAGAAAAGATCCAAATAAAAAGTGATGAAGGCCTAAAGAAAGATAATAGGCATATGATTAGACAAAGCAGAAAGGGAACAAGAGATATCCTATAAGTATAACCAAAAAGACTTGACAACTCACTGAAAATGGAGTGTGGTAGAGGAATGATGGAAAGGATAAAGGGAGAAAGGAAGAGAGAAAATGAGGGAAGGCAGGAAGGAAAGAGTATTTATTTAGTTCCTACTATGTGCCAGGTACATGCTACGAGCTTTAAAAACATTATTTCATTTGATCCTGACAACTTTTGGGAGGTAGGTGCTATTATTATCTGAATTTTACAGTTGAGGAAACCAAAGTAGTCAGAAATTAGGTTAGACTTTCCCAGATTTCACATAGCTGGTGAATTTCTGAGGCTGGATTTCAACTAAGGTTTTCCTGAGTCCAAGGTGAGAGACATATCCGTTATGCTACCTGTCTGTGTGACAGTAGAAGAGTATGTGTGGTGGAGGTAGAGAAAAAGAACGAAGTGTCAAAGATGACTCCAAAGTCCAATTCAACCAAATAAGCATTAAATGTAATGAGCAGGTACTGGGAACACAAAGACAAAAGCCCTCATGGAGCTTACATTCTAATAGACAAGTATATGCAAATTAATTTAAAGAGACTTAAGAAAGCACTAGCAAGTAGACTGGTCCCTTAAAGGAGGTGGCACATGAGCTAAACATTGAGAGAAGCTAAGGATTCTAAGAGGAAGACATAAGTAGGAAGTATATTCCATACATGGGGGACCATCTGTGCAAAGTGGGGTACATGTTTAGAGAATAGCGAAGTAGGGTAGTCAGCCTAGAAGTAGAGTATATGAAGTGTGGTAACGTGTAGTAAACCTGGAAATATAGGCTGGAGACAGACTGACGGCCTTAAATGTCATGGTGAGGTGTTTGTATTTTATCCTAGAGGGAAAGGGCTGAACATTTTCAGGCCAGAGAAGCAGTAACATGAAATTTGTTCTTTAAAAAGAGTATTTTGCCAGTTGTGTAGAGGAGGGGCTTGAAAGGGATACACCTAGAAGCTAATCCTAGAAGTCCAATTAGGCAGCTCATGTAATAGCCCAGGTGAGAGTGGTTAAGATCTGAACTACAGTTGATAGATAAGAACAATGTTCCCTCAACAGAAATAGGAAAAATTTGTAGGAGTTGCAGTTTTAGTGAACAATGTACCAGTTCTCTTTTGGGCCTGTCAGGAGAGGGATGAGAGACTGATCAATAGGACAAGTTTCTGGAGAAGACAACAGGGAATGGGAGATGAATGAGCTCAAGACAGATGGCTTCAATTTTCTTTGTTAAGTAGGGGTTAAAATTTTTTGTTGGTAGAGAAGGTTAAGTAGGAGTGGCATTAAAAGTATAAAGAGAGATTTAGAACATATACTGAAGAAAATGTGATAAAGAGTATCAACTAGGGAAAAATGAAAGGATAAAGGGCTGAGTCAAGAGTAAGTAACATAAACTTAGAGAGTATCTTGTCAGCACAGTTTCATGACTTCCTCAGGAGGGCAAGGGAGAAGATAATAACAAATTTAACAAGTTAACTATAAAGTTAAGATTGTTAAAGGAGCAAGTAAGGCCAAAACTGGGGTGACACCTGGGAGAGTACAGCAGCATAGTATAGTAGATAAAGCAGTAGATAGAATCAGAAAGACAAGGGTTCTTATTCCACCTCATACACTTATTAACTAAATAGTCACAGGCAAGTGACTATACCATAATTTCCTCATTCGTAAAATGAGATTAGATTTGATTACTTCTATGGTCCACTTCCACCTCTAAATCTATGTTCTATGACTTAATAAGGCTAAAGAATGGGTTGAAGAAAAGTAAAGAAAAGGGAGAGATACAATGATAGATTTTGATCAGAGAAGAAAATTTCAAAGTTCGTGATTGTGGTAGTTGAAGGATTTTAAATGTCATGAATGTCGGATAAATGAGGTAGAAATGGATGGAGGTCACAGGAAATAAAGAAGCAGGCCACTGCAACAGAAGGAAAGAGTATTAAAGGAATATCTACATGATATCTTTCTTTATCTGACTTTATCTTAAGTCACCAAGAATGAGGACAAGGATTATTTAGATGGAATATAACACTGTGACTCAAGTACTAAATTCATTGAGAAAGGAAGAGGAATAATATAGGAACAGTATTACTAGCATCAAGTAGCACCTGGACAGAGCGGTAGAGATGAAGAAATGCCTAAAGGAATTCAAAAGGCTCTTAAGTGACAGCACAGCAATAAGGACCTGGAAGTGACCATGCAACACAAGGGAGGGTGATAGCGCCTCCTGACCACGTGTCATGGAACAACTAAACCTGGAGAGATTGGCAAGGAAAAAGTTTATTTTCTGGGTCTTCAGTTTTCTCCTACATAAAACAAGAAGGCTGAACTACCTGCCCTCTGAGGCCCCTTCAAGTTTTTCATCTATGAGCCTATGAAAAGGAGTTTGTTAACCATTAAATGGTAGTCACTGAAGGGGAAGCCAGACGAGGAAGGGGACTAAAGCAGCTTGGTGCTGGGCTGGAGAGAGATGAGAATGCACAGAGACATACCAAGAGAGTGAGATTCTTGCGTAAGTAGAGAGAATTTGAACCACAGGGAGTAGGAATTTGTTAGCCCTATGAGAGGGGAAAATGAAAAGTATTTTAAAAAAAATCATTGATAAAAGTATAATTACTACCTTAGAATCTAATTTACTTCTATTTGCAATCTGACAAATTATTATTCATTATTATAACCACTCTGCATTTTATAGAAATTTTCCCTCAAGAATATCTTTATACAATTACAATCACAATATCCAAGGAGGTACAACAAAAGCAATAGCACTGTGTTCACTTTACAGACCCAAAACTGAGTTACCAAGAAATTCTTTGAACATGATGCAATCAATCACCTGAGGAAATCACACTAGAATCCCTACTTCCTAATTTTTTTCTAATGGAGGAAAAAAAGTAAATACTTGCAAATCTCCCTATGATATATTTACTGATGTGCTTTTCAATTATGTGCCCTGATATAAAATTGACCTCTCTCCATGTTGGTCCTTTTGGGTATTTATCTAAACTTTTCTACAATTCCTTCACAATTATTTGCAGTTCCCATTTCAGAAGTTCCAGAAAAGATTCCGCATTTCAATCTACAACTTTATCATTTTTTTCAACAATTGAGATGAATATTTTTTTCTCATAACAGTCTGAGATTCCTAATTTTCCCTTTTCAACAAAATGTGCTAAACCATAATTGATACTCTGTTATACTGAATTACTTCTATAAAAACATTTCTTTATTCCTTCTGCTAAAGGTATAGGTAATTTCTTGCCTTCTTCATTCTAACTTTCTCCCCTAATACCTCATGAAATCATTAAATCCTTACTTTAATATCACACACAGTCAAATAATCCGTTGCTTGACACTCATTACTTTGTATTTACTTTACTTGATTACTTTTCCCCCAAGCCCCAGAGTCTTAAAACATTTGTAATATTACTGCTTGACAAAAACCTGCTTCTCTGACATGCTACTCTTTCTTCATTCCATTCTACCTTTTTGGCCTTGCTTCTTTTTCCTAACACCTTTTTGCAATCTTTTTGCAAAATTATTTTTCCTTTTAAATTCATTATTCTGTGAAGTCTTCATATGCATTTATTATGTCTACCTTCCAAATATAAATATTTTCATTAATTATGACTGAATGAGGAAGTAGGATTTCAAGAATCCTTGGATAATTTTGCAAACACTGTATTCATTTATGAAGCAACATAATAAAAAGCAAATACAGAAGGTCAAAAAGTGATGTGGTAGGCAATAAAAAGATTTTTTTACTTATGTATAGCTAATGTCATCCAAAAACTATTTTAAAAAATTAGGAATTACTTCCCATTTATTATTTCTAACTATGTTATACACAGAACTATGGAACTTGCAAAATGCAGAGTATTACCTTATATTTATAGTACAATCTGAAAGATCCAACTGTCACGTCCATTTCTCATAATTCATAAAATGGATAATTAAATTTTAATTTCAAAGGGAGGCTGTAAGACGCTAAAGAGATAATGTATGTTAAAATGCTTTGAAAAGTATTAAACAACATGCAAATATGAAAAATGAGAATTCTGTAGAGTAATTTCCAAAAACTAAAACCAATGTTTCCACTCAGTCTTATAAATTACCTTTCAGAAAGAGTTTTCTTTCTATAATATGCCATTTAAAAAAGTGACATATAAAAAACCCCCTCAAAATCTTAGTTTACAGCCTTGATTTTATTCTGTTTTATAAGTATATCTTGGGCCACATTAAAGCAGTACATAACTTGAAATGTAATATGCCATACAAAAGAGTATTTAACCATAACCATAATTGTAGCATAATTCTTCATTTCTAACCCACAGCAAAAATAAAATTATCAAATACCTATGAAATATGTCCCTTTCAAGTCTTTCAACCAATATGAAAAAATCTCCAAGTTAATCTTTAGTTATTTTGTGTCTCCCCAAAGTAGAATTATTTTTCTCTATTTACTATCTTGAAAGAGAAAGAAAAATACCTACTTGCATCTGCTTGGCTTCCCACACTGATATATCTATCATTGCCAGGAAGGACTGTTTGATAATAAGTTGTTTCCTCTTGCTGAGGTGTCTTGGCATTCTTAGCAGTCAGGAAAGCCACAGCTAATTCCAAGTTTCCATTGCTATCCTTTAAATATCAAGAAAGAAAGTCATAATTTTAATTAAAAGGCTAGTCTATATATATTATAAATTAGTGGGTTCTTATATGATAACTAAATTTGTTCCATTATAGATAGTAATTAAAAATAGTGGGCCCACTCTTTAGTGTTTTTAATGTGTATAGGCAGTATAAAAATTAGATGATTTTTACTTTTAATTCTTTTCAGTTATCAATCATACTTTTTCCCCTACTACTTTCTCCTTTCCCCATCCACCGAAAAAAGATAGACAGAGAGAAATATAGAATCCATGCATCACATAAGCACTGTTAAGCAAACCATATTCCCACACTGGTTACATCCAAAAATGTGCTTCTTATTCTATATCAAGCAGTATTCTTTCTAAACAGTCCTCTGGAATCAAGGTTTACCATACAGTTCAGAGGTGTCGAACTCAAAATCTCGCCACATGCTTACAGCCTTCAAAACAGTATACCCAAATGAGATTAAAATTGTAATTGGGAAATGTTTAACAAAATAAATGAAAATACAATACAGCAAAATAAATGAAAATACAATACAATACAGTAATGTTAATTTGTCATTTTTTTTTATTCAATATGTGGCTGCAGGGATTTGTTTCTATTTTGAGTTTCACACCACTGATCTAGCTGATCAGAGTTTTTAAGACTTTCAAAATTGTTTATTTTTATAATGTTGATATTATTGTATAAATTGTTCTTCTGGTTCTATTCACTGTACTCTCCATCAGTTCATATAAGTCTTTCCACATCTCTCTGAAATTGTCTCTTTTGTTTTATTTCTTACAACACTGTAGCATTCCTTTCACATTCACATTTGCATACCACAATTTGTTCAGTCATTCCCCCAATTAATGGGCACTCTTAGTTTGCCACCACAAAAAGAGCTTCTGATAAATACTTCCGTACATTTAAAACTTTTTCCTCTTTCTTGGATATTTTTTGGGTATAGGTCCAGCAGTGCTATGGTTGGGTCAAAGGGCAACTTTTGCACCATCGCTCAAAACTGCTTTCCAAAATTGTTAGACACATTCACAGTTCCATCAATTGTATATAATGTACCTATCTTTCCATAGCCCTTCCAATATTTGTCACTTTTTTTTCTGTCATCTTTGCCAATTTAATAGGGATGGGGTGGGGCCTCAAAATCGCTTTAATATGTATTGTTCTAATTTTTGGTATTTAGAACATTTTTTCATATTGTTTCATGCGGTTATAAATACCTTTGGAATTACCTGTTCATAACCTTAGGCCATTTATCAACTGGAGAATGGCTATTATTCTTATAAATTTGAATCAGTTATTTATCTAGAAAATGACACCTTCATCAAGAGAAACTTGCTAAAAACAACTTTTTTTCTCATATGTTCTCTTCTAATTTTAATTATATTTACACAAAAACTTTTTTATGCATTTATTGATAGAATTATATGATTTTATTGTCTTTGTAATTAATATGGCTAATTAAGTTTATATTTTCCAATACTAACCTAATCCTGCTTTCCTCATATAAATTCTAGCTGGTCATGGTGTATAATCTTGGTGATATCTCACTGTAGCCTCTATGCTAATATTTTATTTAAAAATTTTGTATGAATGTTCACTAGGGATATTGGTCTATGAAAGGGGAAAATGAAAAGTATTTAAGTTTCTTTTTGTTTAGATTCTCTACAGTTGAGGTAGCAAGACCATATTTATGTAAGAGAAGGAATTTGGAAGTGTCATTTCTTTTTGCTATTTTCGCAAACAATTTATGTAATATTGGAATTAATTGTTCTTTGAATGTTTGACAGAATTCACTTGTGAACTTATCAGTCTTAAAGTTTTTTCTTTTGGGAGTTCATTTATAAATTCTTCAATTTCTTTTTATGAGATGGGGTTGGTTAAATTTTCTATTTCTTGATCTGTTAATCTGGATATTTTTAATGTTTGTAAATATTCATTTACTTTAAGTTGTCAATTTTATTGGCATATAGTTGGGCAAAATACTTTCTAATAATATCAATTATGTCTTCATTTTGATAATAAATTCATCTTTTTTATTTTTTGTATTAGTAATTTGGTTTCCTTCTATCTTCAATTAGTGAATGAGTTACCTAATTTTTTTTAATAACAAATAGTTTTACTTATAAATTCAATTTTTTTTGCTTTCAATTTTATTAATCGCTTCCTTGTTTTTTCAGGATCTCTTTTTTCATGTTTAACTGGAAAGGTTTACAATTTGTTGGTTTCTAGTTATTTTAGTTGTATAACCAATCCACAGATCTACTCATACTCTCCTTTGTTGATTAAAGTGTTGAGAAATATAAATTTTCCTGTAAAGAATGCTTTAGTTGCATCCCAAAAATTTTGGTATGTTGTCTCATTGTTGTCATTATCATTAATAAAATTATTTATCATTTCTGTGGTTTGTTTTTTAACTCACCAATTCTTCAGGATTAAATTATTTAGTCTCTAGTTGATTTTAACACTTTTTTTCTTCTGTGGCCTTTAATATAGCTTTTATTGAACTGTGGTCAGAAAAAGATACGTTTAATAGATCTGCTTTTGTGCATCTGTTCATAAAGTTTTTATGTCTCACCTAATATCTGGTCAATTTTTGTAAAGGTAGTGCAGTAAATAGAGACCTGGGCCTAGAGTCAGAAAAACCAGAGTTGAAATGCAGTTCAAATCCAGAGCTGAAATCAAATACTAGCTCTGTGACCCCAGGCAAGTCACTTAACCTCTGTTTGCCTCAGTTTCATCATCTGTAAAATAGGGATAATACCAACCTCCCGGGGTTGATGCAAAGGTCAAATGAGATGATAATTGTAAAGCCCTTAGCACAGAGCCTGGCATTGAGTAAGTGCTTGATAAATCTTAGTTACTTAGTGGTAGTAGTGGTAGTGGTGTTAATAGTAGCAGCAGTAGTAACAATAGTAGTAGTAGTAGTAGTAGTAGTAGTAGTAATAGTAGCAGCAGCAGCAGTAGCAGAAACAGTAGTAGCAGTAATATCATTATTATTAGCATCCTGTAATCACCAGAGTATAATCATAACTAACTTGTCTAAAATTCAATTAATGTCAATTTCTTATTCAATTTTTTTGTTAGATTTATCTAAGGCTGAATGGGGCACAGTAAAGTCTCACAGCACTATAATTTTATTTCTTATTTCAGGAAGTAAAAAAAAATCTTATTTTTCTGTTTATCTTTTAAGTTTTCTATTTTTGCTGTTATCTGAAATCAGTGAAATGGCTACATCACTATTTTTGCGATCAGATGAGGTATGATCGATTTGCCGCCAAATCCATATTTTAACTTTAACTTTCATGTGTATTTCTCTTAAGCAAAATATTTTTGGGTTCTGCTTATGCATTCTGCTGTCCTCTTCTGTTTTATGGCTGAGTTTATCCCATTCACTTTCACAGTTATGAGTGTATGGCCTTTCATGCTATTCTCCAATATTTTTTCTTCTCTTTATTTACTTTACTTTTAACCCCCCTTTTCACAATGTCCTCTCCAAACTTGGTGTTTATTTTGCTTATGACTAATTCCTCCCTGAAACAGGGCAGGGATGAGGTGAGCCTGCATTTCAGACATGGGGGAAACAAAGGCCGGGAAATGCGGGCCTGAACACCGAGCTGAGGCCCGAGGAGGCCTGGGCCGGTGCGTGCGAAGAGAAGCAATATGAATAAAGACGGGAGGCCTACTACAATAATTCAAGTAAGAGGCAATGAGGACTTGAATCAGTGTAGAAGCAACGTGAGAGGAAAATGAAGGACAGGTGCAAAATATTTTGCAGAAGAACAATCAACAATGACAACTGGATAAAGAAGAGTGAAGGATGACGCCCAGGTAGGAATAGAAGAAAAGTGTTGCCCTCAACAGAACTGGGTAAGTCTGGAAAAGAGATGGACTAGGAGAGGGCTGCCCGTCAGGATGTGACATTAAAGAAGGAGGGCAAGTCAGGCCCCGCTACTCCTTCGGCCTGATCCAACATGGCTGTCGCAGCCCCAGCTTCTTTAGTGAACCAGAACCTATCCGGAAGCCGAGATGCCTCTTTGAAGCACAGAAAAAGGCATTAGGGCATAACAGCCCAATACAGGCAGAAGGGGCGGTTCTAACTGGAACCAGAGGAACGGGTTGGGTGGCCTTGGGAGGTAAATGAGCTTCATCTCTTACATCATATCCACCCACCACTAACAGCTGATACCCACCCAATCAGAGGCTGAGCTTCTTCTCATGAAAATGTGCAGGCCGTAACGTCACGGATGCCATGTCTGGCTACCCATACGGGCAGGGCTACCCAGGAGTTGCTGGACAGGCCCCAGGAGCTCCACCAGGCAGTTATTACCCAGGACATCCCCAGTATGGAGTACCCTCTGGTGGCGGTTATGGAGGCCCAGCTCCTGGAGGGCCTTACAGACCATCTGGAGGCGGGGCCTATGGAGGGCTCCCCTCATCTGCTCCTGGAGGTCCCTATGACCAGCTACAAACCCCTATAATACCCCTCAGCCAGGACCTTATGGGCAAGGCCCAGCAGCAGGCATCATTCCTCCTGGTGTAGACACCGAAGCCTACTCCTGGTTCCAGACAGTGGATTCAGATCACAGTGGTTACATCTCAGTGAAGGAGCTCAAGCAGGCCTTGGTCAACTCCAATTGGTCCACATTCAATGATGAAACCTGCCTCATGATGATAAACATGTTTGACAAGACCCAAACAGGCCGGATCGACCTCTTTGGCTTCTCTGCCTTGTGGACCTTCATCCAGCAGTGGAAGAACCTCTTCCAGCAATATGACTGGGACCACTCAGGCTCCATCAGCTACAATGAGCTGCAGCAAGCCCTATTCCAGATGGGCTACAACCTGAGCCTTCAGTTCACCCAGCTGCTGCCCTCGTTCTGGCAACCCTGCCATGCAGCTGGACCGCTTCATCCAGGTGTGCACCCAGTTGCAGGTGCTGACTGAGGCCTTCCGGGAGAAGGACACAAGCATGCAGGGCAATA